GTCAAGACAAACGTCTACCCTCCTGCGTCCCTCGTCACCCATCAGTTTTCAGTGTTTGCACACCACTTGCGGACAATATAAAAGAAGCACACAGGGTAACCGCTGTGAGTCACTTCAGCTCCAGAAAGCCCTGAAAACCGTGTCTCAGACCCGACGGTTTTGTCAATGTCAAGAGTAGGGAACCTCAGGCTTTCAGTGCTCCCCCCTCTCCAAGTCACACCCCACACTGTTGAGGCCACACCACCCCTGCACCAGCTCGGCTTTGCATCCTCCTTGGGTGTTTTCCCCTGGCTGCAATGTGTCCTTGATCTCAGATAATGCTCCTTTGCTTGGAGAATAAAGAAGGCATCTGCAAATATGAAGAGACACCTCCCACAAAAAGTTAAAACTTCCTTTCATTACTTTGCCCAGTTTTGCTTTTGCTTCTGCCCACTGCTGGAATATTGCCCCTGAAAGGTTGCCTAGTTGTGAATGTGGCTATCAGGTTCCTTCCCACAAGATGTAGACATACGCACATTACATCAGATGGCTTTAGAGTGGTCCTTAGTTGAGTCATCTTCAGCCTAGATCCATCTAATTTCACCCATTGCCATACAAAGTACCTACACTGGCACAACTGTCCAATTGGTGCATCTAACCCAGTGTCTCCCAAACTTGGGTCTCCAGCTGCTTCTGGACTACAAATCCCATCATCCCTGATTACTGGTCCTGCTAGCTAGGGATGATGGGAGTTGTAGTCCAAAAACAGCTGGAGACCCAAGTTTGGGAAACTCTTAACATTTTCTCCAGCAGTCGTGAACCAGGTGGCCCTGAACAGCTCACAAGCTTGCCTGAGCTTCTGGTGACTATATATTTGAGCGATGGCATAACACTGCCAAAACTAGTGATGGAGACTTCCCCATGCCTAAACATTTATCTGCTGATGCCACTGGCAGGCGGTCTTCTTGAATCTGAATGGCATGTTTCTTATTACTTTATCCTCCCCAATACATCCTTCCTGGATGCACAGCTTTGCATCACCAAGGGACTCTTCTACCTTGAAGAAGGCCTTGCAAATTGCCTCGGTTTTGCCTCTACAGAGGCTGCTCCTGTCTTCACACCCCTTAAGCCGCCGCCACCACTGAAGTGTGTCAGCTCACTCGCAGAAAAGCCAGACTCACTAGCCAAAAAGGGGAATTGAGAGCTGCAATTACTTGCAGGCATGATATGCACAACTCTGGGTCGATCAGTTGTCCCTAGGATCCTGAGAACTAAGGAGGATTTTTAGTTTTTAAAAATTTTACTATGTCAGAATTACAGAAAGCAGGAGACTTCTGAAATTCTCTTCTCCATATAGTTTATGGAGAGGCTGTGGCCCTCCAGCTGTTGTCGGACTACGACTCTCATCCTTGACCATCGGCCATACTGGCTGATGGGAGTTACAATCCAAAACATCCGGTACCCTACTCCTGACTCGGCCAGTGGTTGTATGAATTATCTTGAGCACCACGGCAATTTTGAAATACGCTGCCCTTTTAACAACAAAAAGGGGTACCAAATACGTGTCAAGTGAGTGTTATTAAAATATTGAGAAATTCTGTTTTTTAATAAAAACCTCAAAAGAATGAAAATGTTGACATTATTAAGCATGTTGTGAATCTTACATTACAAGGGGTGGGTGGTGAAAGAGAGAAAGAGAAAGAAAGAGAGAGAGAGAGAAATTGCAATATACATAAATATCACCCACTGAAAGACTGCTGGCACTGATGTCTCTTATAGGTGCTAGATTTGTCTGTAACAGAGAACATGAGATGCTTGTTCCTAGCCAACGTGCACTTTCCAATAATGACTCATCCTTCAAACATTTATTGAAAATAGGCTTTTATAGCTGTGATGTCAACCTTTCTGAAAGACTGCAGATGTACAGATCACAAGCGCTAAAGCAAGCTAAATTCATACTAGGTTTCCCTGGCAACTGAAGTTAAACACAACTAATGGAGAGATCCTGTCCTCATGTTTTGCTTATTGGGCAGGGCAGGATCGCTCCTAAACACAAACACACACCTATATGCCGATGGAACACAAGGTATATTTCGACTTGAATTGGGGATACAACTGTTGCACATTAGCAGAGAAGGTGCCATTTCCCACTCTAAATCAACCAGATTTTGCCAGATAATTCAATTGCCAGAACAGAAGAGCTTCACGCTATTATAAAGATATTTGTCTTTGTAGGATCAAACTTAGCTATTCTAAAATTCTAGACCTTCCTGAGGCTTGGGCTGTTTTAATGGTATCACATCTTTCTAACAGCACCCAGTAAGTGCCCTTGTGCAGTTATACTAATATCACCCATTTATTTGTCTTAAATCTGCAAGTAATAGCATAAGTATCTGTCATTAGTGGTGATATGCTTTTAGATCTATTATTACCCCTTTTAAGGTTTTTTAATGTTTTATAAAGCAGACAGAAGACTAATGTTGGCTGGGTGATGTATTAATAAAAATACATTCTGATTTTTCCAAAAAAAATGCACGTCCCACACCCCAAGGTCTGTTTCATTTAAAACCACTGCTTTCTATCCTGTCCTGATAGCACAGGACACAATGGACACTTCTGACATTCTTCTGTCTTTCTCCTGATGCTTGTAAAGATATTTGAAAGGTGTCTCCATATTAACCCAGGATGAACATATTTAACACCTTCAAGCCTTTCATCACAAAACTTGCCTTCCAACTTTTATCATCTTGGTTGATAAGGATATTTTAACCATCCTTTCAGCTTTTCCTTTCTCTTTTGCCACTGATGGTGTTCTCATCTGAATGCTGATCTAAGGAAAGCCATCATACTTACAATGGTATAGTCTATAGTGCTATTATTTCCTGCCTCAGAACAATGGCACAAATTTCCATAAACAGGGCTTCTCAGAGCAAGATTTTCTCCACCTCCCTTTCCTCTAAAAATCTGCTCCTGTGGAAAGGGGATGAGGAGAGGTGAGGCTAGATGGCCCGTAATACCCACTCCAAGACTACAGTATATCTGTAACAGGGATTAAATGAGATGCCTCGGGCTTTTAGCCTAACCCTTCAGTCTTGCAAACAAAATTCATGTACAGAAACAAAATTCTTCAGTGGATCAACAGATCTGATACAGAAATGTCTCCTCTATCAGAGAGAGAGAGAAAGAGAAAACAACTGCATTCACCAGCAGTAAAAGCCTAACTCCTTGCCTAGACCCATATGTTTTTAACTTTTGGATTTGAAGAAGAAGAAGAGTTTGGATTTGATATCCCGCTTTATCGCTGCCCTAAGGAGTCTCAAAGCGGCTAACATTCTCCTTTCCCTTCCTCCCCCACAACACTCTGTGAGGGGAGTGGGGCTGAGAGACTTCAGAGAAGTGTGACTAGCCCAAGATCACCCAGCAGCTGCATGTGGAGGAGCGGGGAATCGAACCCGGTTCACCAGATTACGAGTCTACCACTCTTAACCACTACACCACACTGGCTCTCTTTTGAATATTTAACTCCTATACTGCTTAATATATTAAAGATATCTCTAAGCGGTGAACAGAAATCTGAAGCAACAGACGACTTAAATTATTGCAGAAATACACACTTATTAATTAATGTTACTAATATAAACAAATCAATATCAATTCATTTTCCTCCCGGTTCTCACCCAGGGTCCAAACAAATGTTCAGCTCACCCACAGAAGTCTTACAATGAGAAGAGTTGCTGGAAACAGCAGACATCACCCTTGTCTCTCACTCTAGACTTCTTTTCGATAGGCAGGCCCAAGAAAGATGGCACTTCCTCAAGGTGCCCACAGCTGTGTCCCATTCACTCTCCACACCCAGTTCAAGGTGGAGCAGGTTTGTTGAGTTTCCCAGGGGGTCCAGAGGATGGGGAAAGCCTCCCCCCTCTACTCACAGCTCTTTCTCATCCTTGGTCCTCCTCTTCCAGCTGCTCAGATGAACTCTCCATACTGTTTTGTTTCCATGAAATAACAGACTGCTATAATCGTTGTGGATTTCTCCCATGCTCCTGGCAGGTGCCAACTTCTCAAATGGCATCTGCAGCTATGCTTTAAGCACCAGATTGATCTGAATACATTAGCAGGTGAGAACGTTTATCCAAAAGGTTTACCTTCTGACTTCTTCCCTTGTGACCTCAGAAGAGTTGTGATATTTGCCTCTTCTGGTTCAGACTAAATTCACATTAATAAGAACCCCATTTTCTTCAGCGTGCTTCCAAGTTTTCTGCTTTGCTCTGTTCAGCAAATGAATTGACAAGCATACTTTCTTTACTGCACTTTCAGAAAAGCAGATAAACATGTTGGATAATGGGTAGATACAAGTTTTATGCAAAGGAAACGCAGAAAGCCACCCTATATGAGGTCACACTATTCATCCATCTAGTCTTGTCTACCCTAACAGACATTGGTCATCTGCCCCCTGAAGTTTTTTTTAACTGGAGATGCCAGGGGTCTTCTGCATGTGCTCTACTGCTGAGCTATAGCCTGGCACAAGAATAGCACAGTTTACAGGGCAATCCTAAGCAACTTCATTCAGAAGTGAGTTAAATGGGACTTAACTACCTATGAAATGTGCTTCAGATTCCAAACTTGGCCACCTTAATGAAGGGCAAAAAAGCCAACGTCTCACTACGGCTCCATCTGAAATTCTTTTTTTTTCATCACAAAGGCTGGATGCTGAAGAAACCTAGCAAATTACCGTAGGTACCTGCTACCACAGATGACTTTCTGCCTCTAGCCTGTAAAATAAACTACAGTGGTACCTTGGTTCTCAAACGCCTTGGTACTCAAACAACTTGGAACCCAAACACTGCAAACTGAAAATAATTGTTCTGGTTTACTAACATTTTTCAGAAGCCGAACGTGCTCCGTTTTGAGTGTTACGCTTCCAATTTGAGTGCCACACTTCCGTTTTGAGTGTTACGCTGAAGTCTGTCTGTTTTTGCTATTTATTTTGCGTTTTTCCTGCTCTTTTTTGTTTATTTTTTGTGACTGTGTGGAACCCAGTTCAGTTCCTGATTGATTGATTGATTGATTGAATGTGTGACTGCAGCACATTGCTTATTGCTTTCATTTTATGGATCAATGGTCTCATTAGATAGTAAAATTCATGTTAAATTGCTGTTTATGGGGTTGTTTTTAAAAGTCTGAAACGGATTAATCCATTTTGCATTACTTTCTATGGGAAAGCATGCCTTTGGTTTTGGAACGGACTTCCAGAACGGATTAAGTTTGAGAACCAAGGTACCACTGTACCTTTGCTATCCTCCCCACCAAACCTGTAATGCATTATTTCCTATGCATGGTAGGAAACACTTTGATTTCCCATTCAGCTGAATGGACAATTAGCACACATTCAAATGAATGGAAAGGTCTACAAATCAAATTCTGGATTTGTGCAAACCTTGGTTTTCCCACCATAAACACAGTATCTATTAAGAGGGGAAGTGGGCAAAGAAGGAGCCATTCACATACCTTCAAGGTATGTTTAATCAGGTCCCACAATTCATTTTCGTCCTCTGAATTATAAACCATAGATAATCAAGGTTTGCAACAGAAATGCTTACAAACCATGATCAGTGGAACTGATCACCAGAACACTAATGCCATGTATGAACTGATTGTTTGCATTAAATTATGCACAAGAAATACAAATAAGAAAAAGGAAAGAAATTAAAGCTTTGTTCCCTTATTAGCATAAGGTTAAAGCCAATGAATACATAATTGTTCCACACCCAAAGTATTAAGGGATTTTATTCTTAAAGTACAAAGAAATTAATATGCAATGCTGCCTTATTTTACAGGCAAATTGTTTAGTTCCCCCCTCCCTCTCCTCTCCTTTCCTTCTCTCTCTGCAAAAAAAACACATTTTCTTGCTGGAGGATATTGCCATGAACAAGGCTAGACAGCCAAACTAATATTGATTCAAGAGCACATATCTGAGAACAGCTCAGAACAATAACTCTAAAATGCTATTAGCATATTTTCATTTCAAGTTCCATTTACGTCTATAAATCCCATAATTAAGTTACACAATACATATTTCCCGAATAAGATAACACAAAATTAAGCATAAATATACGGACTGCAAATTGGCAACAATGCAACTAATGTGAAACATTAAAAAGATATAAAATACATCCCAATACTACAAAATGTATGAGATTATTCCAATAATTACAGTTTATTGTCATAAAGACAATTACCGGCTTAAGTTCAAAGACAAACATAGAACTTACAACGATCTATCAATCTCAAGAACATCAGCATTGTTGTGTTATTTTAATTTACCCAACCGTCCCAAGAAACGGCTTCTTATAAATAACATTCCTCACCACGACGGTAGTGATTTTTGCTTTTATGTCGTTTTGAGTTTTCTGCACTTCAGAAAACTTTACTCTTCAAATTTACAAACGATTAGCTTCAAAATCTGACTTATCTCAGTATTAGGGCGCCCTATAGCCTCTTTTATAATATTGACCAGTTCAAATATAGAGAATAATGTTAAAGCAGCAATGTTTCTCCATTATTTAGCTTATTGGGGGTATAATCTATGACCAAGCACATCACTGGCATATTCTCTATCAGCATATCCATTTTAAAAAAACAACACAAAGCTTCCATTGCACTTTCACCATCCCACTGAATCCTAGCCCTACAAACTGATGACACTGTTACCCAAGCACCATTCAGGACTAAATTGGGGAGCCCTTTAAAAACTCAAGTGCAGTTTACCTCATACATCTGGAATCCACACATTTTCCTGTCTTCCAAACCATCACCTTGTCTTCTCCCACACAGGTTTCACTGGGGCATTGATAATAAGCTGCGCCTCACACCAACTGCTTCCTCCTACCTTTCGAAATGAAAAAGTAGCCTACAGCAGCCTTCCTGGAATTGGTGCCCTCCAAACGTTTTGAACTATAACTCTCATAACCTCAGGCAACTTGGCTAATGGTGAAGGAAGATGGGAAACTGACCCTTTCCATCTGCTCAATTTGGGTAAGAAATGCTTGATACCCTGGTACATTGTTTCTCAGTTCTTCTGCCCCATGATGCCAATGGACCTTACCTATTTCTCCAGTGTGGTGTAGTGGTTAAGAGCGGTGGACTCGTAATCTGGTGAACCGGGTTTGTGTCCCCGCTCCTCCATATGCAGCTGCTGGGTGACCTTGGGCTAGTCACAGAGAGTGTTTGTTGTGGGAGAGGAAGGGAAAGGGAGATTGTTAGCCGCTTTGAGACTCCTTAGGGTAGTGATAAAGTGGGATAGCAAATCCAAACTCTTCTTTTAGGAAGATGCCTGTATCACATGCAAATTAGCCTTCAACAGGGGACCACCACCCCCTTAAAGATGCCAGTTACTTGCCCAAACGCAAGATACCTGCATGCTCTTTACTGTCAATGGCTGATAGATGAGGAAGCAAGAGTATTTGCTTTGATGGAATCAGGTTGACGTCTACTTTGATGTTCTCCAGGTGCCTGAGCAGCAGCATGTTCTTTTAAAGTATGTCAAATTAAGCAGAAAAACTCAAGTCATTTCTTATGCTGAATTGATATGTCGATTTAGACAATTTAAGAACAGTGAGTAACAAATTAAGCAGGTGATAGAAGATCGATGCACAAAGCATCTGTTATTATCTCTGGACCTGACAGCTAATCAAGCTCTGTTGAACAGGTAATCAACCCTTCTTGCCTGGTGAACGAGATGTTTTAAGGTGGTTGCAACAGGATCCCAGGATCATGGCGTTGTGGCTCATTTCTGAATGTACAAATGCTGCGCCAAATGTGCTGAAGAGTTTAAGCTGCATTTCCATCTCCAGCCTTAATAATAGAGCAAGTCAGCAAGGATCACCATCAAGAACACCATTTATAGCGATAGGGTTTGAATATGAATGAGGCTTCAGAGCTGCCTGGGTGGCTTACTATACCATCAGCTTTGGCAACAGAGTTCATATTTTTCTGTTAACTACCATATGCAATTGCTGCTTTTAATGCAAAGCATTTGCATGACCGGACTTGGGTCGTTGTCAGCTTTCCGCAGAGGCTAAAGCTTTTCTGAAATGTCACAGCAAAGTTTTCGGAGCAAGAATCTGAGCAATCCATTCTGCCACGGGATATTTCCCGACAGGAGTGGCCATGGAAGTCACTCAGTGCTAGCTTCTTCAGGTTCTTTTCGTAAACCCACAAACTTTGCAATAACATCCGCACATATGGAACAAACATAAGTGAGAGGCGAGAACCTCTGTCTAGTAAAGTAGCAAACAGTGCAGCGTCTGTGGACCCACATGCATGTATGCGCAAAAGCTTTATGACCATAAGGATGCTTATTAAAATAGGCAGAATGTGAACACTGCAAAGCTAAATAGGTTTAATCATCATGACTTCCACTCAATAAGCCTGAAATAACAATGCAGGAACCTGCCACTTAGTCAAGAGCTTCGTCAGAGAATTGCAAGGACACATTTCCCTAGATACACCAAATGGTTGCATGTGTTGTCCCTGCATTTGTAGCATGTGCATAACTGTGTGAGAAAGAATGAACTCACATGCACACCGTGTTTGTAGCAAAACATGGCGAGGAGGATATATTTTCTGAGAATCCTCCGGAAAAACAATCTCTCAAAGGACCTGTTGATGGCATTTTACCATTGCACTGTGGAGAGCGTACTAACTTATGGTCTGTGTGTGTGGTTTGGGAGCTGCACGGCCAGGGAAAAAACAATGCTATCCAGGGTTGTAAAGACTGCAGAGAGAATAACTGGGTGCACTCTTCCCACCTTAGATCAAATCTATGCTGCCAGGTGCCATAAGAAAGCAGCAGAGATAGCGCAGGATAGTACGCACCCCAGAAATGATCTCTTTCAGCTTCTGCCTTCTGGAAGAAGGTATAGGGTTATAAAGGCCAGGACTAGCTGCCTGAGAAACAGTTTCTACACAAATGCAATTCTGGTTCTAAACGCAGCATGAGGGGTCTCTATAGTATAGTGTATTTTAAAATGGGATTTTAGAGGTTTTTAGGGGTTTTTGAATGTTTTATGTAGTTTTTATGTAGTTTTATGTAGTTTTTCAATTTCATTGTTCTGCATGGGACAATGATAATAAAGATATCTATCTATCTATCTATCTATCTATCTATCTATCATCTATCTAACAGTGATTAAAGCATTGACTATGTTCCCTAGCCGCCACCAAGTGCTGAATTCACTAGGTTGGAGAGATGGCGCTGACAAATATTGCTTACTACTACTAGCGATGTTGTGGAACAATGATAACAGTGTTTAGGCATCACCCATGTTAAAGCTCACTATCACCATGGAGCAAACAAATTGTACACTGGTTAAACAGTATGGTTAGAAGAGTTTGCCATGAAGAGTGGTAGATCACATAGGTGTACATATATAAAAGGGCTTGATTCACGTGGAGCACAGAAGCAGCTCGTTTGGCAACATTTAATTTCATTTCACTTTGAATTTGCATACCGCCTTTCTATATTACTATACGCAAGGCAGGTGACAAGCTGAAAGAGCAAACAAATTGACAGGAAAGATCGCACAACCTAATAACAATCTGATCCCATACAAAAAAACATCTTTAGAATAATCAACTTATATAAAATAAAGCAATATTCAATAATCCATTAGAATAGTAAACAGTATAATAAAATATCAGCAAATAATTATTAAACAGTTTACATTTAGCCATTTACAATAAAGAATTCCTAAACTGTAGTCAATAAAAATAACAGCAAGTCACAACGCATAAAATACCAAAAAAAACATACAAAACCATGTAAAAGGGTCAAGTTGAGAAACAAGGATGCACAATTTCTATATTTTAAAAAACTGAATATCCCTGAACTCCTCTCCTCTCTTCCCAGCTGCTTCTGCTGTTCTTAAAGTCATGGTCTGGGTAGGGCTCCTAGGGCTAGAGGGTGGGGCAAGGTGGGTGGAAAAAGCCATTGCCCGATGGCCAGCACAAAGTCTCTCTCCCCTCACAGTTCTTCATCTGGAAACATTGGGGAAGAAAAGTAGTTCCTTGGACCAGGTATGGGGAACCCACAGCCCTCCAGTGTTACCGATCCTCAAATCCTATCAGCCCCATCATGCCTGGCCAAGGATGAGGCAAGTTGTCCTTCAACCATACCTGGAGGGTCAAAGATTCCATCGCACATCTTCAACTGGTGTCATGTACCAGACATCTCACCTGCAATTACAGTGGCACCTTCATGGTATCTCTTGAAAGGGCACCTTTAACTTGTACTGGCTGATAATGGGTTTTAGATGAGACCAGAGAGATGGAGGGATGAAAGTATTAGGATAGCATCTGAAGTGTGAAGGCGAAGCATACCACATAGTCAGAGGTGTAACGGGCCCCTTGTATCAAAGGTTTTAGAAACACTGCCTTAGTCTGATCCAGCCAAGGTTGTGCTATGTTCAGCCCCTCCTTTCTTTTAAACATCCATGTTTTATGGTTCTTTCCTAAATGTCACAAAGGCAGATGCTGCCATCTGAAACACACGAGCTATAAATCTGATGTCGAAGAGCCATTTCAAACCCATTTCATCTGTAGATGAAATGCTTAAGTATCTACCCACAGAAAACTGAAAGAGGTTCCCCCCCACACACTCTTTTCCCCACTCTCTTTTTTACTATTGTCGCAGTAAATAAGCAAGTGTGGATTGAAATGACATCGACCATATGCTTTGAAATGAAGAAAAAAATCACAAAGCTCATTACAGCTTGATGAACTCCAAAGAAGGTCAACCACCTTCTGTATGTGTTTGAGCACCGTTCTGTATCACGAAAGCAGAGGGTGGGGGAGAGAAGCACCCCAATTTGTTAAGGGCTACCCACAGCCAGATGCAGGTTTCTAGAGAAAGGAAGTCAATGTGTAGCCTTCCAGATGTCGTTGGAGGTGGTGATACAACTGACATAGGAATGCTACAATCATCTACAGTAGTACCTCAGGTTACATATGCTTCAGGTTACATTCACTTCAGCTTACAGACTTCGCTAACCCAGAAATATTACCTCAGGTTAAGAACTTTGCTTCATGCTCTGGCGGCGCGGCAGCAGCGGGAGGCCCCATTAGCTAAAGTGGTGCTTCAGGTTAAGAACAGTTTCAGGTTAAGAACGGATCTCCGGAACTAATTAAGTACTTAACCCGAGGTACCACTGTATAAGGAAGTGACTAGCTATAAAATGGCCCTCGAGAGAATGCAAGACTACAACTCCCAGCATCCCTGTCCGCTGCTCAGAGGGCTCATGGGAGTTGGAGTCCAACAACATTCAGTGGGCTACAGGTTCCCCACCTCTGAGCTAATAAGTTGTTGGGGAAATACAGGCTTTTAAAAAAAAATCATAATTAGAATGGTGGTAGATGAAAACCTGAGCCTGAAAGGGTTTGACCAAGAAGTCATCTCTGCGAAGTTATTTCCCCTCATTTCCCCAAATCTAAACAAGAGCAAATAAAACTTAAAATGGCTGCAGTCTTTGATATGTAACATCTTATTCACAAATTAACAGTGCCATCCTACACATGTCTATTCGTGAAAATCGTCCTGTTGAGTTTGGTCGGACTTATTTCCAGGAGTTTGTGAACGGGGCTGCAGCCTAAGCTGCTCTGGGAACTCTTAGAGCAGAAAGGCAGGCTAGAGATGAGGTATAAACAACTGCCATTTTTCTTTATTCCCAACAGAGTTCATTTAAAATATGGTGGAAAGAAGGGGGGGAGGGTTCTTGAACGGCTTTCCAAGTAACATAAACATACCCAAAAAATGTCACACTGGAAACAAATTATTCTAAAAGATCATTTAATTATAGGAGAAAGGAGGAACAATCCACCCTGATCCCAAAGAATAGGGTGATTTCTGTGCTGCCCATGCTTCCCATCTGACCTACGGTTCTTAAATATCATTAATACGCAAAGTGTTCCAGTGAAGAGTTGTCACAATCAAAAACATCACCCGTTCTGAGTGTGAGGAGAACTTCCCAAGGAGACAGCTTTTTCCTGACATTTTGCAAGAGACACTTCAGAGCTGTCCTCCACCAAAACCTTTCATTTTACCTTCTCTCGGCATCCATTTGATACGTTCAATGACAGTTTTAGTCTCAGCCACATGTGCCTGCTTCAGAATTACTTCAAGCGAGCCAGCACAAACTCGCTGAACAGTTCTGCCAGGCCCACAGCCTTGAATTCATTTTGCAGCTCACCCAGCGTTGAGTACTCTTTGACTTCAAATGCCTGAAACCTATGTTGTACAAGAAAGACTTCATGAATATGCCTGCTTCCGTGTCAGAATGTAATTATCAATTCAAAGCTGCTTTTCTAGCCGAAACAGTGCTAAATTATACCTTCTGTGTGCTGCCTGGGCTTTTGTTTCTGAAAGAACGCTAATCATTTTCTCTTTACACTTCTTTCCGCTCGAATCCACATCCACCTTGCTGGTTTTCTGAAGAAGAAGATATTCCTAAATCACACACACACACAAAAAAAACCCCACACAGCATCAGAACATGAAACGTCAACTGTAAGAGCCTGTTGATTAAACTTTATTGCTGAAAAATAAAAATAAAAAGGGGAGGGAGTTCATCCTTAGCATTGCCCTGGTCAAAATCTCAAGGTTCTTAAGACTAAAGGTGAAAGACCAGGTGAAGTCTGAAGTTGCAAGACCAGCGTTACACTTGTGTTTCCATGTAAAGCATGGAAAATATACACCCATGATGGCATACATGAGGGAACGCTGGTGACATGCTTCAGTTGTGCTGGCCAATTATTATTATTATTATTATTATTATTATTATTATTATTATTATTTGATGCACCAAGTCTTCCAGTGTTCTTAACTGGAGCTACCCACAAACGTCTTAAAACCATCAGGGATGTAATCAGCGCTACTTTGGATAACAACCCATTGTTGCTATTATTTTAGTTTGCTGTTTTAGTGTTTCACATTCTGCACTTACGATCTTCATAACTTACAAACCAACCTGTGACCATTTAGTAAACAGTGGTATAGAAATCCCTAAATGAGTAAGACCTATAGGAAGTTACATTTTGAAAGAACAAACATTTATGAGTAGTCTACAGGGTCATTCAACCTTCCTACCTCTATGGTTATGTTACATGTACTTATCCCTTTTTAAAAAAAAAAATCCTAGTTATGTCTAGGTTTGCAGCTTATCCTGATCCAAATTATGTAATCTATTTTAGAAAACAGGCTTCTACTACAATTCTGCTACACTAACTATGAAGAAACTTGTTGCAGGAAGACAGAACACCATATTCTCCATAGTGCAGCCATAATCACATGCATTAGTCTCTAAGGGATGTGGAAGTGCAATGGTCACTATTTACCAGAAGTCTGCTTGGTTAGCATTTGGTTCCATCTGTTCCTAGAATAGGAATAGGCCACAGTAGGCCTCAGACTCCCACCAGCTTCCTGTCTGAAAACCAGCTTTTTTCCTCCCGTGCAAAGATCCTGTGTGAATTGCCACAGAAGTTTGACACAAAGTTTCCCCAACATGGACTTCAGCAGATTTCTTCCATGCGTGAGGAAAATGCAGGCAAATGCCAGCCAAGATACAGCTCTGGAGAAATGAGGATTAAAAGATCCCTTTGCCCGGGTGGGGGTCAGTGGGCAAGGCTAATATTGCTGGCTCTTCTTCAATTAAGAAATAAGCTCCCTGTTGAAGTTAGCGGCTGACCAGACCCTCTTAGCCCAATGCTAAATCTTGTTATAAATCAGAATTTCCCAAACTTGGGTTTCCAGATAGTTGTGGACTACAATTCCCATTATCCCTGACGACAGGTCCTGCTAGCTACGGATGATGGGAGTTGTAGTCCAAAAACAGCGGGAGACACAAGTTCGGGAAACCCTGCTCTAAATACAAAGGGCACGCAGGGCGGCAGACGGGACACAGAGCTTAAACTTTAAAAAGACATTGCTGTTAATAAAACAACCAGTTTCACAAAACGCCTAACAAACATACAAAAAAAAACCTGAATGTATTTGAACTGACATAGTTCTCTGAGCTATCAGCAACCGAACCGGCAAATCAGAGCAATGTCTGCACCTTAATGCTCCTTCTGTCTCCTTGAAGAAGAATCAGAATCATCTTGCCCATGAACATCAGTCTTCCAGTCAGCTTTAGATCTGCACACCATTTTTCTATTGTTTTGACATATTTTCCCTTTGCTCTCATATGATCTAAATGCAGAAGGGCAATCCAGACACCATCCTCCTCAGGTCCGTCTGTTGATAGAGTACTTTCTCCGCTGCAGACTGAAGCTTCAGCTCGCTCGACAGCATGCTTAAGATTCTGCTGTATCCAGAGAATCAGCTCGTGTACCATGGGCTGTGAAAAATGCCTCTCTGCTTCCTCAAGTAATCTCCCTTTCACGGCCGCACACTGCGTCCTTGTAAGCTGCTCAGAGCTAACAGAGATATTCGGCAGGCTTGATGGGTAACCAATCGGCAAATGAAACAACAGCTTCAACAATATATCTGCGCCCAAAGGTCCTTTTGCACTGGTCTGAATCCTAAACGAGATTCCTTCCGTCTCTGAAAAAGCATCCAAAAGCAATGATCAACTGAGAGTCAACAAACATATTTGCAACAGTTGTTTGTTTGTTTGTTTGTTTGTTTGTTTGTTTGTTTGTTTGTTCTTACCCTCAGAAAAAAAGCTTTACTCACTCTCGGGGGGGGGGGGGACCTGAATGATCCAATAATATTTCATATAACTATAAAAAGTCTGGGGTGGGATTATTTTTGTACTGCGGAGGGATAAAGGTAAAGGGACCCCTGACCATTAGGTCCAGTCATGACCAACTCTGGGGTTGTGGTGCTCATCTTGCTTTATTGGCCGAGGGAGCCGGCGTACAGCTTCCGGGTCATGTGGCCAGCATGACCAAGCCGCTTCTGGCGAACCAGAGCAGTGCACGGAAACGCCGTTTACCTTCCTGCCAGAGCAGTACCTATTTATCTACTTGCACTTTGATGCACTTTCGAACTGCTAGGTTGGCAGGAGCAGGGACCGAGCAATGGGATCTCACCCCGTAGCGGGGATTCGAACCGCCGAGCTTCTGATCGGCAAGTCCTAGGCTCCTGTGGTTTAACCCACAGTGCCACTCGCGTCCCACTGCGGAGGGATACCCAAGTACAAAATCCACACATCAAATGTGAAGTGTACCATGCAGCGCAGAGGTGGATAACCTGCTTCTGCCTGAGGGTCACAATCATTTGTGGGCAACTTTGTACAGCTAAAGTAGATGTGGTTAGATGACACTAGAATAATCCCAGTTCATTAACACAGTCCAACCAGGAAATATCACCAACGGAAATATCAGGGCCAGTTAGCGGTGCAACCTGAGAGGGAAGGATTTGGGTAGAAGCCTGAGGGCCAGGTAAAATGGCCTGGAGGGCCACATCTAGATCCTGGGCCTGAGGTTTACCACCCTTGATGCAGTGGCTAAAATACTAAGATTGTAATCCAGTATCTACTTACCTGGGAGTAATCCATATTAAATCAATAGGATTTACTTCTTCATTTCCATTACTTGTTTTATTTATTAGACTGACAATACCGCCCTTCATCGTAAGATCTTAGGGTTCACAGGATAAAAATACAAGGTAAAGGCACAAATAGTTAAAACAAAAACAACAAAACAAGTATAAGATTGTATAAGATTGCACAAGATTGCACACTGAGCTGTTTTTGAGAAACTAAGATATTGCATCCACCATGAATTTATTGGGTGGTGTAACCTGGGAGTAAAGGTAAAGGGACCCCTGACCATTAAGTCCAGTCGTGGCCGACTCTAGGGTTGCGGCACTCATCTCGCTTTATTGGCCAAGGGAGCCGGCGTACAGCTTCCGGGTCATGTGGCCAGCATGACCAAGCCGCTTCTGGCGAACCAGAGCAGTGCACGGAAACGCCGTTTACCTTCCCGCAGGAGCAGTGCCTATTTATTCCCTTGCACTGGCATGCTTTCGAACTGCTAGGTTGGCAGGAGCAGGGACCGAGCAACGGGATCTCATCCCGTCACAGGGATTCAAACCGCCGAGCTTCTGATCGGCAAGTCCTAGGCTCCTGTGGTTTAACCCACAGCGCCACCCGTGTCCCTTCGTAACCTGGGAGAGCAGGGTTCAAACCCCCACTTGGCTATTCACTGAGTGACCTTGGGCCAATCACTTTCTCTAAAATGGGGAAGAGAAAACCATGAGTATCGCCTTCAGCTCCTTGCAGGAAAAGATGATATATAAATGTAACAAATAAAACAAATATTTCTTAGCATGGTTTCCCAACCTGAAATATGGGGAAGGAACATGTTATAAATTATGTAAATAAAACATTAAGTGAAGCATTCTGGACATTCAAAAACCAATATATAAATGGCAAAGTATTGTGGCACGTTGTTATGTGAATTATGAACTGGACAGGCTGCTTCCCAAAAGAGGCGAAGGAAAATCAGTAATCAGGCCAAGCCTATCATTTTCAAGTCACACTGGAGAGTGCTGAAAACAACTTTAAGAAAGGAAAGGGGGGGAAAGAGTGTCTAAATGATATTACGCTTACTAAGGTTCCTGAATTCTGCCTTTGATACTTCTCTGTCCTTTGTGCTTAACAGGGAAGTCATACAGCCAATTGTTACCCTAAGCATTTTAGTTTAGGGATCAAAGAAGAGATTAATGCTTTAACACACCTGTAAGAATTTAATCCAGGACCTGAATTCATAGCAATAGATCTTGAATGGAAAGCAATGTGGAAGGGCCTGCTTAAGTGTTAATGAAATTCAATATAAGTCTTGGGAATACAAATATGGATTCCAACTAATCAAGAACTATTAGTTAAGATAAACCAGGACTCTTTGAGGGTGAACTAGCAAGACTTTGATTTTTTTTTCTCATGCGAGGAAAGTCGTGTTGCTTAAGTGTCAAACTATTTACAGCAAATAGACCCTCAGACACAGATAGGGCAGGACGGTGCAGAGAAAGAAGGATTAATACCCCCAACTTCCTATGTTGGGGGTGTTAATCCCCCTATATCTAGATCACTGTTGCCTGAAGCTGCTTTCTGCAAAACAAAAAAAGAATGGTAAGAGGGCAATTTGAAGTGCATGCTTAACATTAACTTGCCGTTTGAGCAAAAATGATGGCTTTACAATAACGTTTAATTTTTGCTTTAAACATTGTCAAATGTTGCACAACTCTTGTTAATGCTTCAGAAAGGGGGAAAGTTCACAAGTCTTTGGCAAGATAAAACCCAGTCCCACAGAAGAAGAAAAACTTACAGCTAGTGTTCAGACATTACAGGAAGACAGATTTTCAGGAGACAACGAAAAATCAATTAAGATGACTCTCACTTAGAAGATTGTAAGGTTTGGTTTGATGGAGAATTATCTGATATTATATTTATATAAGAGCCAGTTTCCAGCCATTGAAACAGAACCAAGGGTAGGCAAATGGCAAACACTGGCTGACTGTTTATGAGCTGTGGATTTGGGACAGGAGTGAAATAAAACGTATCCCCTAACTAGTCACCTGCTTCAAGATGGTGAGGTTTTTTTCCCCCTTCGGGGGTGTCCCCAGTTTTCTCCCTCAGACGCCAGTCGTTTGGTGTGGGGGTTTGGAATTGAATTTTTGCCTTTGCAAAAGCAGAGCCAACACCTGCCAACCGGCCTGGATGCTGGCGAACATAAACAAAGATAAAGTTTCTAATATCCAGAGAGAGAGAGTGTGTGAGACAGAGACAGAGACCACTTGGGGGTCATCAAATGAAACTAACTGCCAAGAGGTTCAAGCCAGAACAAATTTCTTCACAAACACCCATAATCAGCTTGTGGAACTGGCTACTATCAAATGTGAATGGCTTTAAGCCTAGCCCCACGAATTTGTCTTCCAATGGCTATTAGAAGATTGTGAGGGGTTAAAAAAAAAAGGTAACAATAATGATGGTGTAAATTATTTTGCATTGGTGGTTTTCATTATATTGTGCATCACTCTGGTTTCCCAACTGGGAAGTAGAGCAGCATATTTTTTAAAAATAAAATAAAATAAATGAATAATACTGTTGAGAGACAGGGTACCCCTAACTGAATACCAGTTGCTATGGGTACAAATATACTACAAGGAAGCACTGTTGACTTCACGACTTATTTGTGGACCTTTCTGAACCATCTGACTGGACTAGATGGACTCTGGATATGGTCTAGTACAGCTCTTCTTAGAGAATCATAGAGTTGGAAAGGACCATGAGGGTCATCTAGTCTAACCCCCTGCAACGCAATAATCTTTTGCCTAACGGGGGGCTCAAACCCATGACTCTGAGATTCAAAGTCTCATGCTCTACTGACTGAGCTATCCCAGCTAAGTTATGTCTTTAGAGTTCACAGTACCCTTTATAGGAGACCCCTGCAATTTATGAACCTTTGCTTTACACGTACCACACTTGTCATAACAACAGGCATTTTGGCAGTACAGAATAAAGTTGGAGAGATCCCAGACCACAAGATCCCAGACTATCCACTGAAACCCTAGTTATGCACAAAGCGTGCTCAAAAATACGTAACTTCCAAGCCAACAGAAACGACCAACCTGCAAGCGGTTCTTCAAAGTACCATAATTTTTTCTTCTATTTAAAGTGTATATGGTACTGTATGACTAAAACTGTGAACCAGGAAGCTCCCGGTTGAAATCTTTCCTCAGCCATAGCCACTAAACTGGCAACGCTGCCATTACAGCCCTATTTTCTAGACAGCTGCTGAAAGAATTACTGCAACACGAAAGGCTTTGAACACTCGGAATGTGCTATAAAAATGCTGAGTTTCATTATTGTCATCAGGCTAATCGCATGAATCAAAGGCAATGGAAAAAAGGAGTAGAACGGCACGTGGTTTTTTTGTACTGTGCTGTTTTCCAACAGCAATGCAGCCAGCGTGAAACAATAGCGGCGCTTTTGCTAAATTAAGAGGGGACAAGGATCTCATCCGCTTCTACTAAAACAGAAAAAAGTTAGGGTGTAAGATGAAAGGTGCTCTTTTTTCAGATCTTCACTACATCATTTCTTTGATGTGTTCCAACCACTTCACCCCATTCCTTCAAAAAGTTGCTAAAATGTCAACTTGATTCATTCTGAAGGGGTTGGGAGAGACAGATCTGAAAGACGCAGTGAAGCAGTCCCAAGTTTCAGATGAGTTCTTTTGAAGTGGCTTGTCTCTTCCCTACCTCCCAAGATCTACCTCGGCTTCATGGGATGGGCAATGGAGCTATGTCTGATTCCTGCCTCCCGCCCCTTCCTCACGGCTGACACGGCTTCGCAAGCTTCAGTGCCCTCTGCCAAACAACAGACGAAGACAGTTTAGTGAGTGACATGAGCTGAAATGGTTCTGACAACACTGAGCACTATGAACAGCATGCCGAGAAATGGAGTCTCCTTCTCAGTAGACTGTGTTGCCCTAAGAGGAAGACATTGCTCCTGTCTTCCATGGGCACTCTCAAGGAAACAAGAGGGACACAGAGGCACTGACTGACAGGCAAATACAGAAAAGCCAACCACAGAGCAG